GCTGGATACTATGGGCTATCAGAATGGAAATCAGACTGTGACAGATAAAGGGAGGTCTATTACAAATATATGCATAATTTGTTCTAAAGGAGGAGTGGGGAAAGAGACTTCTGGAAAGTCATGTTTGGACTAGACAGTATATGTCTAAAGATGAAAAGAACCGTACATAAGCAATATATGCTAGTTGGTAAATATTATTTTTAGAGAAATGCAAAGACTGGCTAAAACAATCTTGAAAAAGAATACACTTGGAGAACTCACGTTTCGTAATGCCACGTCACCACAAAGCTATAAAAATCAAGAAAGTGTGGCATTGACTCAAGGTCAGACACATTATAGAACCAGTGATTAGAATTAAGACTCCAGAAACAAATCCATGTATCTATGACCACTGGATTTTTGCAAAGGTATTGAGACCCTTCATGGGGAAAGCAGAGTCTTTTCAGCATATGCAAAGAGTGAACTTAGACCTTACCTCACACCATATATAAATCCAAAATGGATTAAACCTAAAAGTAACAGCCAAAAAAGCATGCAACTATTAGAAAGAAACAGGTGTGATTCTTTGTGACCTTGCGTTAAGGAAGACTTCTTGTTTATAATACCAAAAGCCCACACATAAATAAAATTAATTGCATTTCATCAGAATTTTTTTTTTCAAAAAAATACACCATACACCATACATACAAATATACCATAAAGAAAATGAAATACAGAGCACCTATGTTTTCCAAATGGAGCCCATCTAGCACGCACAGAGAGGCACATCTGCTCAGGCCTTCCTGCGACCGGAGCTATTTTCTTCAATTCTCCTTCTGTGTATTGCTAAGCTTATTAGAAGGCCAAGTCTCTTAATGTTTGTTTCCTAAAACCTAAGGAATGTTTTGAGTAGACAAAGTACCCAAGAGAGCCGGCCTCTGCCAATGCAGGAAGACAATTCAGGTGGGATCCAGTGAGTGAAGGTGGGTATACACATCACTTAATCCCTTCTGGCTGTCCTTTGTCAACCAGAAATAGCAAATGCCAGTGGCTTGGTTGCACTAGTCTTTGAACCAAATGGGTTTGAATGAAATAATGTGTGTGAAAGGGTTTATGTATCACACGGCAGGAGTGGGGCTTCATCCGAATTGAAATCAGAGCTTTTGTTAGTAACACGGCGGAAAGCACCTAACGTCTACAAGGTCCCGGATGCTTCTCTGTTTGAGAGGCCGTGACTAATTCCAATCCCTTAACTCTGGGCAGGCTCTCTGACTATTTGGCCAACAGAATGCAGTGGAAATGACAATCTGGCAGTTTCCAGGCTGAGGCCTTAAAGGGACAGACAGCTTCGAGTCTCTGTCTCCTGAAACATGTGTGTTTGGACCACAGCTCCCATGTCATGAGGAAGCCCAAACAGCCCCCCGAAAAGAACCAAGGCCCCCGGCTGATGGCCACAGACGAGCTCCTAGACCAGGACCAGCACCATGTCCACCAGCCAAGAGGATAGACCGACCTGAGCGTGGATGCGAAGCCCCCTTCGAGCTGTGCCTCCCCAAGACTGCCAAGTTGCGAGTCCCCTGAGACTCCCAAGGAGCCGGCACCAATGCAATTACAAAAGGGTCTTTATTACAAGCTCAAGCAGGGGCTCACCCACCTACCGGTGTCGTGGCAGAAGGTGAAGCCCCGAACAATAGTGAGCAGGGTTTTTAAGGGGTAAGGGATGGGAGTGTTACAGTGCACACGTTGTACGTATGGCATCATCACATAAGCACTAATTACAATTGTACAGCAGCACCCATGGTAACAGCTTTGACCGTTCAGTATCTGTAAGGCGTCCGTTACTTTTGGTGGGACCCAATCATGACTTTAGAGAATCCTTTGAAAATGACCAATTATGAGGTGAGTTCAAAGAGCCCACGTGGGGTTCAGGCAAGTGGTGAGAAATTGGCTAGTTTGTACAGAATAACTGTCTACAGTTCCCAGCCTTGACTCAGACCACAGGAATGTTTTTTTGATTAGCTGATCTGAGGGCAGTCAGAGGATGGCTTTAGCCTTGAGCAATCTGAGGAAATGGGGCTACATGCAGCCCAAAGTTGCTCTTAATGGAGGCCTTAATTTCAAAATGACGTTACTTAGGCTCTTCAACAGAGCCCGCTTGGGGTTCTCACTCTCCCCCTGCTTCTCTCCCGCTAGCACTCTCTTTCTAAAAATATTTTTTTTAATTTAAGAAATGCTTAAAAATTAAAACATCAATTGAGCTAACTCTTTTTAAAAATTTTTTATGTTTATTTATTTTTGAGAGAGAGAGAACAGGAGAGGGGCAGAGAGAAAGGGAGACACAGAATCTGAAGCAGGCTCCAGGCTCTGAGCTGTCAGCACACAGCCCGATGTGGGGTTCAAACTCTCAAATGGTAATGAATTAATGAATTATCACACCTGAGCTGAAGTCAGATGCTTAACCAACTAAGCCACCCAGGAGCCCCTGAGCAAACTCTTGATAACAGAAGATCAAAAGGATATGATTTTTTTAATATTCTCTGTCTGCTGGCATTTCAGTGACACACGCCATTTGTCTCACTGAGTGAACTTGGCTACGCACTTCACTTTCTGGGCTTTGGATTCTTCATCTATGCTTTCTCTAAGATTATAAGCAAACCACTTTTTGTGGTTATAAAGGAAATTTAGAAATGATGAAGGAAACCTAAAGCAACTCAGGTTACACGGGCAGCTGCTCAGAGTAAATAAATAAACCTCTTCGAAGCACATTATAATTGGGCTGCAAATGCTATGATCTAGCGGTTCCTAAATTTATGGACAGGTGTGCGCGTCCTCCGGTCTTTATATGTAAGTTTATACTTGGAATGCGTGTGACTCTCTGGTCAGGGACAAACCCCAGCTGCCACTTTCCGGGATAATGGGACCTGTCATTTGTTGATGGAAGCCGAAAAAGAGATTAAGCAGGGGTTTTTCAGGGTCATTCTATTTTTTTCCCGTTGAGGTGGAATCCATTCTAACGCCACCCCTGTCCAGGGTTCCATGTGGCGACGGATTACACAGAGTGACATCAGATGGCTGCATCTCCATCAGCGCCCCGGCGCAGACTGCTCCAGCACCTTCTGTGGGAGCCACCTCCGGATCAGCGATTCTCCACAGGGCCTGCCTTTTTTATGCATATTATGACCTCATCTTTTGAGATAACTCTGGGTTTTTTCATGACAGAATCATAAAAATAGCAGGAGCCTGTGGCAAATCTGGAGGCAGAGGCTAGCACCCTGCGGACACTGAGGTTTTGTCAGGTCCAGATGGTGTGCTGATTTTGTTTTAATGTTTATTCATTTTTGAGAGAGAGACAGAGACAGAGAGAGAGAGAGACAGAGAGAGAGAGCGTGAGTGGGGGAGATGCAGAGAGAGAGGGAGACACAGAACCTGAAATAGGCTCCAGGCTCTGCACTGTCAGCACAGAGCCCCATGTGGGGCTTGAACCCACGAACCGTGAGATCATGACCTGAGTTAAGTGTCTGTCAGACACTTAACAGACTAAGCCACCTAGGCACCCAGGTGCTGAATTTTTTTACCTGGCCCGGTTTGGTTTCGGGAGCTCGGAGCACAGAGCCCGGCACCGTCACTGCCCACCTGCTTCCTGACCTCAGACACAGAGGATCCTGACGCCGAGTTTCACAGGGCAGACGGAGCCCAGTGTGAAAGCCAGAGAGCGCAGCCTTCAGCTGTAGACGGGCTTTCTGGGCTTCTGCCACATTCAGGCAATTGACTGCTCACACGAAAATGCACACACCTGGCCCCCAGTAGCCAGGCGTTCAGAGCCTAAAGGGGAAGAAGGGGGTGCAAAGATGTGTAAAGATGCGGAGGTGAGGACAGAGGCAATGCCCAGCTGGTCTAGGGCGCCTCTCGAGGGCGGCTGCGGCCGGCCGGCTTTCTGGACAGCTGGCTTTGATCAGCGTCTCTGTGCTCCTTCTTGATCGTGGGTTCTTTACGTTTCATTTAGAGCTCCTAAAGTAAAATCATTCAATCTGCACGCCACCTCCCACTTCCCCAGTTCCGGCGGAGCTCATTAGCCCCTGATCCCTGTGGGCGTCTTCAGCCAGGGGCTGTCAGGAATGTTCCCCACGTTCTGGCAACTGAGAAACCCAGTTTCTACCCCCAACGGCCGGTGAGGACTTTGGTCTGGTTGCCTGGCGGCGTGTGGAGCTCTGCTATGTCCTCACCCCAACTATCCAACTGCATCTGCTCAGAAAGATGAAACAGGGTTCGTACCCAGAAGATAAGGGCTTCATGTTGCTTTATTACGAGAAAGATAATTAACACCCAAATTGGTTCTGCAATTCATTAAAATGTGCTTTAAACACAAAACTGATCAAATGGATTATGTCTTATTAAAAAAATCTTTGGTTGGCTCATTTTTAATGCTAATGTTAAGCTGTGCTATGATAGATCATTCCATTAACAGTTGGGTGAGCCTACTCGTTGAATGATGGGGATCTTTCCTCCTTTCAGAGCTAGGGAAACAGAAAGTACACATGGCATCCATTTGTTAACGAAGTCTTTATTGTTCTAGCAGCAAGGCAATATGCTGTGGCAATTTCTTTGTGTGACAGGCGGGTCCCATGGCCAATCTGTAGTCTGACCAATAAGTGGACAAACAAAAACAATAAAGCAAAAAAAACCCCTGCCATCTTTTGAGTGGCTATCTCTTATGTTTCTTCTACTGCATGACCCTGTGCTGTGAGATTCTCTTTCTGGGTGTATATTTTGGCCCGTGTTATTTCAGCATATGAGGCACACGGGTGGATGTCTGCACCTACCTTGTCTGAGAGAATGGGGATCATGGTGGTGTTTCCTGTGGTCACGGATCATTCTGAGAGTCCGGAGGGTGACCTTCCCCTCCCTCACTGGTTGAGTTTCCCACGACGATCCTGGTCCTGAAGAGGGTGAAGGATGGCCACACTAGTGTGGAGTTGTGTTAGAACCATTACGATAAGACAATAAGGAATTTACATCTGAAATCACTGTGTCACATATTTTAGTAGCTGAGCTCCCAAAGACACAAGGGTATATGAAGTTTGAGAATAGTCACTGACGGTCACTGTCCCTGCGTGTGGCTGAAGTCACATGGAAAGACCTGGTGAGATAATGACGAGGTGGGGGCTGCAGCAGCTCCGAGGGGACCGGATGGCGAGCTCGGGAGCACAAAGCAGAGGAAGGAGACACAGCTGGCCAGCAGATCGAGAGGAAACTTAGGAAGATTTTGAATCCCACCTGCAGGTGTATGAAAGAAACGCAGTTCGTCTTTTGATAAATTAGGGACTAAGAAGGAAGAGAGGGAGAGAGAGAGAGATAGAGAGAGATGGAAAAGGAAGAGAATGTGGTAGAAACTTCCTGGCTCCCCATTCTCATGTGCGACACAAGGCGCCAGCCAGGGTTTAGGGCAGCTGACAGTCGCTTCTGTGTGGGGCCAGCAGAGACACTGAGTCCTTCTCAGAGAGTTCTCAGCCATTTCCAAGGAGAGAATGATGATCCCACAGTGTGATGGACAGTCTGCTGACCAGTCGCTTGCCTATCAGCCGGCCTGGCGGGGAAAACAGCGACACCCCTGAATTTAAATCTGTCTTTGGTCATTTAATGATAAAACCGACAGGTGGGGCCCAAGGTCATGAGGCGTTATTACTCAGGGTACCTTGAAAAGTTACCTCTGTAAATCCAGTGTTAACCTCTGCTGGATTAGTTGTGGCTCGGGATTAAAATATGAGGAGTTTAAATCGCACAAAAGGTGAATAAGAGGATCACTTTGGGGACAGAAGAATGAGCTGACGAGTCCTCTGTATCAACGCGGCAGACTGGACCCCTGGGCAGGCTCCTTGTCTTCTCCAGAAGGCAGATACAGGCACACAGAAGACCAAGGGCAGGAGAGGAGGTGCCACTCTGAGGAGCGCTGGGGGACAGAAATTGGAGGGCGGAGTCATTTGTGTCCTTGCAGGTGAAGGCCCACGGAAGAGCCCACAAGGACACTGACTCAGGATGAGGCCCCAGGGAGGCGCCGGGGTCCGGGACCTGCACTCTGGCCGGGGAAGACGGCGGCTGATGGCCAGAGGGCACATAGAGCAGAGACCCTGGGAGAAAGTGAACTGAGCACAGTGGCTTCTTTTAAATGAGAATAGATCTCCACGTGATCAGAACAGATTGAACTCAGGAAACAAGAGCATGTAATTCCAAAAGGAAACATTCAGAGAATAGAAATTAACTCTGAACAACCAAGAAGTTTAACAAAAACAGCTCATTGAATGGCTGCAAGCTGAAGTTAAAGGAATTTACAAGAAGTTGGAGCTGCAAGGATCAGAAATGGAGAATATGAGAAAGGTAATATACCAGACGATCCTTCTGAAGGGTCCAAGTAAACAGTCAATGTTCCATAAACTTAAAACAACAGAAAGCAAAAAAAAACAGAAAAACAGGAGTTTTAGGAAAAATGTCAGAATAGTAGCAGAGTTTCTAAATGTTTCTAGATTTTATTTTTTTATTATTTATTTATTTTTGAGAGAGAGAGAGAACAGAAGTGAGGGAGGGGCAGAGGGAGTGAGAGAGAATCCCAAGCAGGGTCCACCCCCAGCTTGGACCCCAACTCAGAGCTCGATCTCACGGCCGTGAGATTTTGACCTGAGTCGAAGTCAAGAGTCAGATGCTTAACCTACTGAGTCACCCAGACACCCCTAAATACTTCTAGATCTTAAAGTACTGCTAACAAATGCAGAATAAAGAGTTCAAACATGATACAAAGCACCTGCTGGAGACATTTTGGAACATTAACAATAAGGACTAAGTCCCAAGCACTTCCAGAGAGAAGGAGAAAAGATGATCATGCAGGTAATTTTTTGAGAATCTGAATGGCACAGGACATCTCAACAGCTATTCGGAAGGTTCCATCCACCTTACCCTGCTCATTGCTCTGCTCGGGGGCAGGTACCTTTGTCTTTGTGCTGTAGACCTGAACCACCAACAAAAGGTAGGTGCAGTGTGATGATGAATTAGGGTCTCAGGGCGAAGGCAGAAAGGGCCGTGGGGAGTCAACATTTGGAAACGTTTCTGGAGGACTGGAACAGACAGAGAGAGACAATAAGACAGAGACATGGAGATAAAGAGAAAGAGCGACAGAGGGAAACAAAGAGACACACAGAGAGAAATAGACGCAGAGACAGACAGAGAGACACCAGCGACGTGGGCCCAGCAAGGCCTGCCCCTTTCCCTCCCTGACACATCAACCCAACCGCACTCAGTCACCCAAACAGCCCTGTCGTCACACATTCCTCAAGTGGGGACCGTGGCACTTAGCCCATAAACTGCCCACACAGGAGACACCAGAAGGAGACAGTTTTCGACAGAAAGGACACTCTTCTGCAGCAAGTGTTGACACGCCCACCACGACCAGACTCTTCCTTCGCCCGGTCACGTGAATCAAGTTGGAGTAAAGAAGGGGAAAAATCGTAGCACGGAAGGGGCAGCCTCTGGGACGTTAAATCATTTGGTTTTATCATTTGTGAACAGAACAATACCCTATATAGAAACCAGGATGTATGGATGTAATGGGATATTAGAAAAAGGCTTAGAGTCTATGAACCAAGTACCATCAACATCAGCTGAATGATTCACCACGTTGCTTGTTGCTTTGACTTCTTTAAAAAAATGTTTATGTATTTATTTTGAGGGAGGGATAGAGAGCGAGCAGGGGAGGGGCAGAAAGAGAGGGAGCGAGAATCCCAAGCAGGCTCTGTGCAGCCAGTTCAGAGCCCAACGAGGGGCTCGAACCCACTAACCATGAGATCATGACCTGAGCCAAGACCAGTAGTGGACGCTTAACCTACTGACCCTCAGGCACCTTGTTGCTTTGGCTTCTACAAGATAAATCACAGCTCATGAAGCACTTTGTCTATACTTCCCGTTTCCGTGCAGGTTGGGCGCATCCATCAGCCTGTCAGTGCAGGCGACGTAAGCATCCCTGGCAATGGAGTGGAGATGGAGGAATGCTTTCCTCTTCTGAATCACAATCCCCCCTCCTTTCAGGCTTAGAACAAGATAAACATGTTCTTCAAAAGTGCGAGTGTGGCTTTGGCATAATGCTGACGATTCTGGAATAAACAGTCGGAGGCAAGTGTCACAGAAATCCAACAGGGAACAAAGGACATCATGAAGCGTAACAGCGGAATGCAGAGCCCTGTGGCCCAAAGTGACGCTGTCCACGTGCTCTGTGGTTTTCGGGAGGAACTGGTAGAAAACAGTGATTCTATAGAGAAACTTGAAAGTTAAACCGGGTAAATTTATGTCCCCAACCTCAGTCACTCTCTTGCCTCCAGGCAGGGGGGCTTCTCGTTGTCCCAGACAGATTTCACAGAGTCCCAAGCAGTGTAGACAGTGAACCTGCGTTAGCAGGCCGCGTGCCCAGCTGCCACGGGTCGGAGCCACGCTTCCGCGGCAGTGGCCACACGGGCTCCACCGGGCTCCACTCTGCACCGTGAACCCAGCGGGCTCCCCCCTGCACCCGACGTGGTGTATTTCTGGGGGGCTTTGGCTTTGAGGCTCCGTGAATGACTGCGGTTCTATCCCTTGCTCAGAGGACAGTGTGTTAGTCATGCCTTCTTACCGCTTGTGAGGGGCTCTGACGTCGGGAGCCCTCTGGCGTGATCGACCGCCCTTCCCGGCGCCGGAGAATTCCTGGAGATGGGAAAGGCCTTCTTTTACAGGCAAACCAGCCGAGGGGGAGCCCACACCCACACCCCTTCCTCTGTGGGGGTCCTCCTCTCCAGGCCACTGTCCCCCTGCCCTGACCCCCCGGGCCTGCTCCAGGAGAGTAGACGCGGGCCCTCTGCCCCGGCCTTGCCAAGACTCGCACCGAGCCCGCCCTGCGCCTGCTCGGCCTGCCCGCCCGGTGCTTCCTGCAGAAACCACGACGACGACGGCTCTGGGCGATGTCTCCCCTCTGCTCCCCTTGTCTTGCTCTAGTGCTGCCCATGGGGGCCCTGAGCATGGCTCCCCCTGCCCCCGGGGACTGTGGGGACCACTCACCAGTGCCAGCTGTCTTCATCTGTTAGGTTCATGATATTGAATAATAATAAAACCTGTATTTAAAATGGTAAACCCGGCCCGGCCGGCAGGGATGCGTAAGGCAGCCACAGACATGCTGAAGACGAACACTTTCTAACTAAAGGAGGATTCTACCCCCCTCCGGGGAGCTGGGAGGGTCTGTGACAGCAGCACCGCCACCAAATGGCACTGGGAGAACTTTGTGCCACACATTCTGTTGGTGTGTGACCCACGTCGTTTCCCACAGCATCCTGTCCGCTTTATTATCTCCGTGAGACAGAAATCAAGGATTGCCAGATCCATAGTTAGTAAGAGGCAGAGCCTGGCTTCTTACTGACGCCACGTGTGGTCACGTGGCCGTACGACTCATACAGGATGCCGCGGGGCCTCTGGGAACCCATTTCGCAGAATTAACCACTCATCCACATTCCCATGGGAGGTCAGGACGTTGGGCTCCAAGGAACATCAGCGGAAAAGGGGAAGAGAGAAGTACAGGCCAGCAGAGAAAATACACCTGACACAGGTGGGTGGTTCGAGCTCTTGCGTCAGGCAGGGTCAGCCGGAGAAGAGCCAGCAGGGTATGTGCACAGGTACACGCACAGGTGTGTGATGAAGCACGGCGGGATGTCCTGTAGAAGGAATTGGCCTTAGAGCCTCCCGTGAAGGGGCGGGGCCGCAGGAGGGGAAGGTCGCTGGCAGTCCCGACCCCGTGGCCATGAGCGACACTGGTCCACAGGCAGTAGTCCAGAGGGGCGTCCACAGGGGGGATAGGATTCCACACCCAGCTTCCGTTCTGAGATTCTAGATCAGGGGACCGCAACTCTCCTCCACACGCCTTCCTGCTGATTAGGTCAGGCCCACCAAGGATAATTTCACTTTGGATTAATTCACAGTTAAGTGATGAGGGATTTAATCACATTGTCCTTTACGGCAGCACCTTGATTACTGTCTGTCGCAGAAGATCAGGCTACAGACGCCACGCCTTCCCAGCCCTCACACAGTGTGCCCCAGGCTGCCCTGACGGGAGCCAAACCAGCGGGGAAAGCTCCTTGGAGCTGCGTCTCCCATGGTGCGCACCTGATTTCATGTTATCCTGGTAACTGCCCAAGAAGCAGACAGATTATTCCAGAAGCGGCTCAGAGCAGCAATTTCTCTGCTGGATGAGCGTCAACTTCCCAAGTCCCCCCTGGATCGACCATCCGTCTCTGTTCTCTCCCTATCGGATTCCTTTCAGGGCTAGACACAATAATAATCTGGTCTATACATTCGGACCAGGGCTGACAGAGTAAGATCCACAGGTTTCATACAGAGAAAATAAAGATCTCTAGGATTTACAGAGGGGGAGTTTTTCCATTACTCATATGGGAGTTTAAATTACTTTCATCTAACTTCCTAACGGAGCAGGATCCAAGAGAAACGTTTTCACCCATTTTCATCCATTAGTAGCCATTTTGCTATTTCAAAAAATTTTTTTCTTCTTTTTTTTTTAAATTTATTTCTAGGAGAGAGAGAGAGA